CGACTTTAGCGAGCTTGAAGCGACGGGTTTTGGGGAGAAGAGTGGTGGCGGCGGAGATGGGGTTGGTGGAGGTGAGGGATTTGAAGCGAATTCGGCGATCTTCCATGTATTGGTAGAAGGAGGCGAAGAGGAAGCAGGCGAGTAAGGTGAGGAAATAACTGAGCCAGGAATTGGTACCCCATGAGTCAAAGAGGAAGGTGACTTGTTTGCCCCAATACAAGGTCATGTGCATCATCTTCAACGCTGGTTCAGAAACGAACAGAGAGAGGAGAGAGGAAAATGAAGAAGAGGTTGGAGCCACGCTGGAGCCAGTTGGATGTCCTATGCCACGCAAGCCATTATACTAACGGCGTGACAGAGCTCAGTTAGTGAAGGGGCTAATTTGCTCCTTACGTGGGGTTTGAGGGCTTATCTGCCACTCTTTTAGTTCAGGGGATTATCACTAGCTGTCAAAAAAGTTGAGGGGCTTAACATGGGTTTTTGCCCAATTTTGGGGAATGAGGGGGACGGAGTTGTGGTCAAGAGTCTTCAGGCTTAAGCAATTGAATAACAAACAGTTTTTTTCAACCGCGCCTATGGCTCAATTGGTTGGCACCCAAACTTTAATGTTTAGATGAGGTGAAGGTTAGGGTTTCGAACTCTGCGACCGCTGTGAACTCCATCAATTTGCGACCTAATGGTCGCGCACCTCAATTGAGGATTGGAACGTTCACTTTTCCTAAAAAAATTCCAGTTGCTAAGAAACTAACTCTGCTAGCTTCTTAACCATCTACTTGGTCAAAAAAAAAAAAAAACAGTCTTTGCACCCAAAAAAAAAAAGAAAAGAAAAGCAGTCCTGTTCCCATTTACTCAAGGAGACGTTGCATACCCCCCCAAATTTTTTCTTTTCTTTTTTAATATTGTGGTGGGACTCGAATCCTCATATTTATCAAAATAAAATATGTTATTTTCTCAAATATAAAAATTTCTTCACATTTTTCTACCTTCTCACTCTATTCTATTTACAAGTATTTTTGGCTGACCAAAAAAATACTTAAGTGATTCTATAAATAATACAAATTTATATAGTGTTAATATAAAATTATAGTATTTTTTGAGTGACATATTATCTATACTTTTACTATACCAATAGATTTACTTTTTATAGAATGTAAATGTCTTAAAATAAGTAAGTATTTTATATTTATTTTAATAATATTTTATTATTGGTATATTTTAAAAATTTTACTAATTATTAATTTTGTTGATCTTATGAGTAAGATACAATAATAACATAATAAGAAAGTGGAGAAAAATGTTGAAGAACAACGAAAAGTACTCTTGGAGAGGAGAAGGTGAGGCAATGAACCTTCGTCCCTCTCAGCAATTAACCTGCACCCAACCACGGTGGGTACAAGAGCATGAAAGGACTAACCCATGGCCATCTACCTGCTTAACCTCCAGTGCCCCCCTCTAACTTGTTATCATTGAGTGTTTTAGCCACTCAACAAATAATGTCTGTTATTTAACCATTAAACTTATTATTTTTTAGGGTTTTGGCCCAAGATTGACCATAGCTAGTCACGTCCATCTCTAACCTGTTAACCCATGCCTACTCAACACCATGTCATTGCCATGTTGGAGGAAAAATGGTCCAAGCTAGAGCAATAGAGTTGGAAAACAAATCAACTTGGCGCCGTCAAACTTCTTCTCTTTTAGAGTTTTATTCCTTTAACAAACAGTATGAGAATTTTGGCCCGTAAACTACAAATCTTTCAAATAATAAACTCAAAAATTAACAATGAAAATAACGTGAGTAACATATCTATTTATTTTTTTGTTAAGTCACACTTTGTCAATGCCATCTTAGCATAAAAATAACCATATGCCATGTGGGCTTTGCATCAATTGTAATTTTAAAAAATAAATAATTTTTTTTACTTTTTTCACCTCTTTATTGCACCCTTCTCCAACTTCTCCTTCCTCTTATACCCTTCTCTAACTCTTCGCTTCCTCTTTGCCTTTTTCAAACGAACTTAAACAACTATTTATGCTTCGCTTGTATGAATAAGATATTAACATGCCATTGTTTACGTGAAGGGTATTGATTTTATTCATGTAAGTAAAGTACAAATATATATTTAATCTATCGTAAAAAAAATGATTAAATTATTTAAGTTATCAAGTTCAAGAACTTATTTATTTTAATAAAAATTTAAAAACTTAAGTAAAAATCTACAATAAATTTAAAGATTTAATGTAAGGTTTTACCTTTTTTTGATCGTTTAAGTTTCTCATAAACTAACATATGTAATGTTTCTAGTGAACGAACTACCACTAAGGTGGTACATGTTGCATAGAAGAATTTCTGCTAGGGAGTGGGGCTGCCCGAAAAGATATTTAGAACCCCAATCAACACTTTAAATATAGGGTGTTTTGTTTTACAGTGTACTCTATGATGAATTGCAAGATCAAGATCATCAAAAAGTGGAGGATCAAAAAGTGGAGGAGAAGACACGATATTAGGGACTTTGCTCCATATCAGGGATCTTACCCTTTTGATGATCCTAATCTTATAATTTATCACAAAGTGAACAGTAAGATGCTTTTTTGTTAAATATATGGGTACCCAACTTTTTTATAGTGAAAGGCTTATTTTGTTTAGGACATTATAGAATTTTACATAAGCTTACTTCTAAGTTGTTCAATTGGAAATGAGGGAAGAGGAGGTGATGAGAGGTATATAAAATTTTTTATTTTTTAACAAAATAGGAAGGAAAGAGGGGGAATAGAAAGGCTTCTCTTTATTTTATCTTATAATTTTTTTTATCTTATAATTTTAATATAAGTAAATGAGTAAGCAATTATTAGTTTCAAGTTATGTAAAATCCTATAACCTTAATATTCATTGCGATTTACCCGTCCAAATCTATTCTTTCAAATTCCATCAAACACCATTTTTTTTTTAATCCAAACAGTGCTTCAACACTTCAAATATTCAAGTTTTTTTTTTCTTTTTTCCTTTTTTTTTTTTTTGTATTTTCTAGGACCTCTCTTGCACTTTACTGATGTGATGTGAGATTATACTTAAAATATGTAATATTTATTTTATTATTCTCTTTAAAAATATAATAGAAATAAAATTTGTCCCATTAAAACTTCTTTCAGAAACCCGATTTTTTTTTTATATAAAAATAATGATTAATAAATTAATTTTATTACTTATTAATAAATAAAATTCAATCCCTCAAATTTAATAAACATCTCACCTTTTCTAGTGGAACGGGTATCCTATCGAACCGCTTAGTGAAGTTCAACTTTGCTACTTCATTCTATGTGCCTAGATGGCTCAGTTAAATCTTTTTGTTTCCAAAAGAGGACAAAACGACTTAGGCCCTTGTTGAAAATGTTGATCGGCCTGACACGCGTGATAGTTCATGTCATGTCAGGCCTGTGGCAGGCACATGCACTGTCTCACCAAGCCTACGGCTTGGACTTTTCTTTTTAAAAATTTTTTAATTTAAAATTTTACATAAAAACAA